ATGAGAGATTTGAGGTTGACCTCAATACGGATTGAGACAGACTGCTCGGATCTAGCGGATATGTCTACTAGACCGGAGAGCTGGCCGGTTTTCGCGACAGAGATCGAGGTGTTTCAACGACTGAGGGAGGACTTCGAGGATGTGAGTATGTCTCATATTCCGCGGAGTAGAAATGGACGAGCGGATGCATTAGCTAAAGAAGAAAGGATTGGAGGTTATTCATTTTCCCATATAGATCAGACCCGGCCAGATGGAGTTTTTTCCCGGAGAATCGACTCGACTGGTCACCACTTGATCTAGAGCAAATGGGCGGCTGACAAAAAAAAAAGGATTCTAAAACATCTCATATAAAGTATAGTTTTAAAACATGGCCCATTGGTTTCATATAAGACTATCAAACTAAATAATATATCAAATTAAATCTCCTATATATTATTTCATTCAATAAAATCTACGGAATTACCTAATGTGATTAAGATATATATGACTATTAATGATTTTAAATAATAAAGATTTCTTAACAATATGTATACTTTATATCATCTTTGTTTATGTTTTATTATTAAAATAAATTACACAATTACACTAATCTTATAATAAAAAATTAGATTTTTTAATATATGTTGTATTTTGAAATTTTCAATACGAGTATAAATTACTAAAACTGTCAAAAATCTCACATAAACTTTTATGACCAAGGTCTAATTTTTTTTTTATAATAAGTTACAATTATTATAAAATAATATGAATAAATAATTTTATTTTAATAGGTATTTATGTTAATATATATATATATATATATATATATATATATATCCTATGAATAAATAATATCATTTTAAACATAATTATAATTTAAAGCTTAACTGAATTTTTAAAATTATAAAATTATTTTTATTTATAAAATTATTTCTAAAATTATTTTTATTTAAAAAAGGTTTTTAAAATATATTATTAGATAAATAAATAAATTATACTAAATTAATTTTGAAACTTTATATATTCTAAATGGAAATATTCTACCAACTATTTTTAAGAAAATATTAGAGAACTTGATAATGCTCTACCAATTAAGCCATGTGACACTCCGTTTATTTTCTATCACTCGAACACTGAAAAGTGAAAATATATATGAACCAGACCCATTAAATTCTAAGTTTTGATCTACAGTTATAATTAGTATTTTTAAGAAAATATTAGAGAACTTGATAATGCTCTACCAATTAAACCATGTGACACTCTGTTTATTTTCTATCACTCAAACACTGAAAAGTGAAAATATATATGAACCGGACCCATTAAATTCTAAGTTTTGATCTATAGTTATAATTACAATTATTTATGATTCAACGTATAGATAATTATATAAAAATTCAAAAATATCAAATACATATAAAAATAATCATATGTAAATTTTAAATTTGTTTATACTAAAATTTTATATTTTAATTACATACATTCACCATGCGCAAGACGCAAATCTTATCCTAGTAATTAAAGAAAATGGAAATCAAGCCATAAAATATGATGGCCATTAAATATATATATATATTTTTTTTTTTGCTATATCACCTGGGGGAGGCAACATCTCAAATAAACAGCCAAAAAATAATATAGTTTAAAAAAAATCGATATATATATATATAGTTTTTTTCTGAACAAGATAATAAAAGAAAACCGTTGTTGTAGCAGAGCAGAACTCAATGACAAATTGAGGTGGAAAACTATCAACCATATATTGCGATTTTCATAGAAAGCTATTACTGTACTGCTACGAATAATGTTATATGTTCTGATATATTTAGACATAAGATTCGATCTACTTTTAGTTTTATTGTAATTTGTGTTTCAATTGTATATTCTATCTATTGAAACCAAAAACAGAAAACAATGGCCGGTCCTCGTTTGCAATTCTCTGTATGGGTTAAATGAAGTAATCATAATCTAAGATAATATAATTATTTTTTCAAAGAAAAAGATAATATAACTAGGCCACGTGAAGCATCATAGTATTGAAGGAGTTCGTAAACCTACCAGAAAACACATTAATATTAGGTCTACTCCTATTTTTATTAGTTTAAATTAGTTAATTTCGTTAAACCTCACATAAGCTGGTTACATAAAATTAGTTAATTTCGTTAAACCTCAGATAAGCTGGCTATATAAAATTTTCCATTAGGTTTTCTTACAATAGTTTATGCCCACGTAACCTCAAATAATTGTACTTTAAAATAAATAATAATAAAATATATAATTGTACTTTTTTGAACATTAAATAAATAATTGTACTTTATGAAAAAACTGCAAATAATTGTGATTTCGCCAAGTCAAGTTTGTTTTACTTGTATTTATGTATTTTTCGTTATTTGAATAAATAGTTAATTAAAACAGAGTCGTCCAAATAATGTCGCTAGTATGCAATTATTGTGGGACTAATCGCAATGCAACTTGGGGAGGAAGATGATGGATTATGGATAGCTCCACAGTTCACAAGGCGATATTGGTCACGTCTCAGGCATCTTTCAGTTATGTCGCCCACTTGGGCCCATCTTACCTTTTCTGTTCCTGCCACGTGTCTATTTATTTATATGTTACACCCACTGCATTGTTTGTATGTTGATTTTATTGCAATTATTACATTACATCTCCAACTTGGTTAAGTGAGACTTGCATGGTATCCCAGTTTTTTAAATATAAATTTTATGCCAAGGTTTAAAATTTTTGATTGACTTTACAAATACACTAATAGCACAAAACCATAATTTAAACTAACACAAAGTAAAATGAGCAAATTTAACTAAACATGAAGCATAAGAAACTCGGACAAAGGCAAACTTCAACATAGTAACTATAAACCAAAACATACAGGTAAAAATAAAATGAGTGATTAGTTGTCGCGAGCTACCAAAGAAAAAGTGAACTCAAACCTTGAAACACATGACTCCTGCAGCTTCTAAATTACCCATTCGCCACAATCTACACAGAGAATCAAACATAGACTCGCTAGATTACCAAGCGAATACCAACCCGGCAGCATGAGAAAGGTCAGCGACTGACGATGCTATCATTCAAAAAAAGTAGCTGATGATTTTCTGTTTTCAACACACCGTCTCGAGACAGTTCATCCATTTAACTCGAAATCTATATAGAGCAAGAAGACAAGTTGGGCACACCTCCTTCGAGAAAAACACACCACCTAACTAGAAAACTGGAAACTAAACTAAAGTTTTACCAACATCAAAGAACCCAAACAAACCTCGCGAGGCCCACCTCCTTCGAGAAAAACACACCACCTAACTAGAAAACTGGAAACTAAACTAAAGTTTTACCAACATCAAAGAACCCAAACAAACCTCGCAGCAAACCTGTTACCAAAATGCCAGAGGAGAGAGGGCCGATAGATAAGAGCGCCACGTAACCTAACCCACACCCAGGCCTGGTCCATAGCAGAGGCAAAGTAACCAACTGCTTAGGACCCAACTATTTTTGAGATTTTTTTAGTTAAGAAAAAGAGTCCAATATTTCTTGAAATTTTTTTGCTTAAAGAAAAAAAACCCAAAATTTTTCATTTGTGTAGGGCCTTAAAGAACTTTGGGCCGGCCCTGCCCACACCACTTTGGAGAGAGGCCAACAACTACACTCGCCTCAAGCAAGCTCACGAACTAAAGTAGTGAGGCCAGCCACTCCCACATGCTGCCACCAAACCCGTAAGAGAGACCAACGAAGACTCCATCTCTCACAAGGATCCAACACGCTATGTCTCACCACAAGCAAGCTCACAAACATAATTTTTCTGGTATCCAAATTATGTTTGTCTAACCATTACTTACACAATCCTATCTCCGGCCTTATCCGCTCGAATCATATGGACGATTATAATGTCTAAAGTTTTATTTTTACACAAATATTCATAGGAAGAATTGAATTTTTTTCCTTAATTTCAAATGGATTCAATAGAAATGTCTATTTATAATAGTGCATCGATACAAAATAATTTATTTTAGACTATCTCTAATGTATTTTATTATCTTTTCTAAAATATAGAAATTCTATAACAGAGATTTGATTTGTTTCGGTGTATTTCTTTAAAATAGCAATATCTAAACATAAAATAAAAAGTAAATAATGATATTTAATCTAAAAATAGAGAGCACATTAATCTCTATTTCAAAAGATGAATAGACTTTAAATATTATTATAAAAAATATATAGATGATTTGAAGATGTTTTTAACAATCTAAATTTAGGATAGTATTTTGGAGTGTGGGATATTTAATAATTAATCCTATTATTTATAGTATTTTAAATTGTTATGTTTGTAAAAAATCTGGGTTCTTGATCCATATTTGTTTTTAATATGAAAATCAAGAATGAATTGTTATGTTTGTAAAAATTCTGGGTTAAACTCAAACACAAAAAGAACTAACCCCCTTAAAGAACCACACTTTTTATCTTCTTGGCATTTTTGCATAAGACGAACAATACTCAGACCGAACGCACCGCTGGTTAACAATCAGAGTTCTCGACCGCTGGTTAACAATCGGAGATCTCGATCAAATTATAAACTGTGGTTTTCCAAAAAAAAAAAAAAAACTTATAAACTGTGGTTAACATATTATTTACCTTATATATTGTACAAAACTTTCTGCTTTACAAAAGGAAATAATTAAAATGCAGTGGAAACACAAATAGACACATCCATTTGTTGACAAAAAAAACGACACATCCATTTGTTATATAATATCTACCTTTCGAACATGCTTTCATTTGTAAACATTAGAATAAAAGTTGTTTTATAACATGCTTTGAACTCATTTAAACTAAAACTTAAACAAAGGAAAAACGTGTTGTGATTTGATTAAAAATAGATAAAACCAAAATAATTTTGACTCTAGACTAGTGATTTGATTAAAAATAGATAAAACCAAAACAATTTTGACTCTAGATTATCTAAAGTAACCATGTGCATGAATACATAAATAAACCTCAGCCAAATGGAAGGAACTTGCCCACATATTTGTTTTAGTATCACATAAATGAATTGATTACCGAACAATAAATATGTTCTCTCAAGAAACAGAAAAATGAAAATATACTTATTATACTCTTAATCAAAATTAAAACACAGTAAATTTAAGTGGTAAAATAGGTGAGAGTGGATTACCACCAAAACCTAGTCGAACTTGGTTCTTGTGTCCGGTAGATAATTCAGAGCCACCGGTTGAACGTGGACACAATACCGAAACCAACACAAATAACTAGAGATGCAGTTCACCTATAATAGCCAGTTCCCGGTTCCCTCACTCCTCTCAGAAACATCCAAGCCATTTCTCACCGTTTCATTATCTACAATCCACTATAAATACTTGCGCCTACAACTCTCAAATTTTCTCACATCCAAATTTAACCTTTTTGCCCTCCTCGTCCTCCTCCTTCACTATTTACAGTTGTGCCACTCTGGTTATGATAGCTTCCTGTAACCGGCGCCAATACAAGAACCTTCGTCACTCCTGGCTTCATTAGATTCCGGCAAAGAAACATTTAAAACATTAAAGATGCCGATAAACTCGAAGAACGCTAACCGGAAAGGAACCACCGGAGAAACCGAGAAGACTCGCCGGGGAAAGTTACAGGAGAAAGCGATGTCGTTTCACGGCAGAGGAACGATGCCTCATTCGACTCCAGGAGAGCTTCGAAGACCGAAGACGTTACCGGAGTTATTCTCAAACGGTCAAACCATCGTCGAACCGGTTCCTTCTAAACCGCCGCGTCTGACGAAACTACTTCTCAACGTGACGGTTCAAGGGAGTTTAGGAGCTCTGCAGATTATAATCTCGCCGGAATCCACAGTGAACGATTTGATCGAGGCCGCGATTCGGCTTTATGTGAAGGAAGCTCGACGACCTTTCTTACCGGAATCTGAACCAGCCCGGTTTGATCTCCATTACTCGCAGTTCAGCCTCGAAAGTATAAACTCTTTCTCTCTGTGTTTTCTGCTTTACAAATCGTTGCCACCGATACTGAGTTTCTGAAACTCGTTTTCAGGTATAGGAAGAGAACAGAAACTGATCTCGCTTGGGTCAAGGAACTTCTTCTTGTGTGGTCGGAAAGAGAACGGAGGATTGGTCGGAAGTGGATCGTCGGAATCTTGTTCGAAGGAAGCAGAGAAAGTGGCGAAAGCTGGTTTTCACTGGCTCAAATTCATGGGTTTCTAGACTTTTTACAATTTTTAAAAAATTTAATTCAAACTTCTATTTTTTCTTATTTTTAGGAAATAAATATTGATTTTAGGAAACTTCGTGTTACCTTCCGAAAGGGCAAAAGATAGGGATTGTTTGCTCTATTATGGGTCAAACGTTTAAAATCAGTGTATATATAGTAGTATTCTATATAGAAGAAATAATGTCATTATCTAGTGGGATATAATGTATTTTAATCAAATTACATGCCAGTTGCACAAAAAAAAATCAAATAATATGCCAATAATTGTAATTGGTTTTTTCTTTGTTTTTGTATCTTTTGTTTGTAAGAAATGTGGGTCGGACTTTCGGTTTATGTAATAACGACTGAAGCCAACCTTATCCCCAAAGTCAAGACATTTTTGGGACAACTTCAAACCAATTAAGTTCCGTGTTGCTCTGATTCTCCCAGTCTTACGCTCCCTCATTGAGATTCTCTCTTCTTAATCTTTTTTTGTAATCAGATTATGAATAATTTATCTAAATAATAGTACAAGTATTAGATGACAAGTTGACAACATTCGAGCAATTTGTTATGTTAACATATGTTTACAATACTTTAAATATTTAAACAAATAAAAACAACTGGTGTTCAAAAAAAAAAAAACTATGCTACATGCCATGATCAACTTAACATCTGAATATCATACAACACCCATACATCCATACTCGAAAAAGGTAAATTTTACAACAAGAATTTTATCGGTCCATGGAGTATGGAACCATTTATCACCCGGTATGGGCCATATGAAATATTTTATCGGTGCAAATAAATCTAGTACATAAACCATCTACCTTCAAATAAAATTGCTGAATCTTTTTACGTGTAGAAGAAGGGTTGTTGGAAAAAACATTATCCATAACAGATTGATTACAAGTCTCTTCCTCAAAGGCATTGCTGATCTGACAATATTTTTCAAAAAAAATAATTTGTTATATAATTCATCATTTACGGCTAGATATGTCAAAACTGATTGCAACTTGTGCGCCACGTTCAATAATTTCATTATGGGATAAATTTGAATACTACAATTTTATAGGTTTGTGAACTAGTTGGATCTTCGGTTCCATTTTGTCAAGGATAACGGATTTAGTGAGCTAATTAAACTATAGCGAACTTCTGTTATGATTTACAAAACTCAAATATTTTGACGATTATGATGAGTAAAGGCACGGGCGGTCCTCGGAATAACCACATTAAACAATGGCCTAGACCCCTGAAATCTTTTAAAAAATTTGTATGAAAAAGATCCCCCAAATTCATTTTTTTTTTTAAAAAAAACCTTTACTAAATTGTTTAGAGCCCTAATCTCAGGACCGCCTTAAAGAGATTCTGATCGAGATTTTGTGATGGAAAGGTATCAAAGATATGAATGGAAGATCATTGGCTCATGTTCTGCATCTGCTTTCACCACCAAATTTCCTCTATCGATGATAAGGTTGAGTATCAAAGCATAAACGATCAGACATTCATCTTCTGCACTCTGTTGCAAATGATGAAATGGAAGTTTCTGTACATTATTTCCAGGTTTGATCGGCTAGTTATTGGCACTTAAGTAAACAAATTGGAATTGAATAATATGAACTAAAGACTTGAAAGCTGAAACTAAACCGAATTTAGTAGTTAGTTCGTAGCAGTGTTATAGACAATAGTCGATGTCTGATTAATTGTGGAAATATCTACCTAGGAATGTATCTCATTTGTTTGTCATATGGAAAGTTCACAGTGTATAGTGGAGAAGAGATTTGTGACTATATATGTGTATTAGAACATTGGAAAATATGCCAGCAACTTAGATGGTAAATAAACCAAAACAAAGAGAGGAAAATATAGACGACATACTTGGAAAGAACCACTGTGACTATACTGTTTTTTTTTGGTGTAGAAATGCAAGAAACGAAGTTAATTTAAATAAACGAACTGATTAACAAGTGAAATGCTTCGAGTGCTCCTACTTTGCTCAGATTTGGGAGGGGCTTACAAAAGGAATTCTTCTCAATGATCACACTAATAATTGGTCAGCCATTATGGCAATTATAACGGATAGCAAGATAGAGAAGTTGAGGAGTTATTGCGTCAGATATGCATTTCAGGCTGCAATTCATTCTTTATGGAGGGAAAGAAATATAATTAAGCACGAGGAGAAGCCTTTGCCTATTGCAGCTGTAATGAAGATGATTGATAAATGAAGGGATGGGAATATGGATTACAATTTTGGTTTGCCACAAGAGTTTAAGCTTTCTGATACGTATGAGGCTTTACACCCACCTATCTTGTATCAGTACAAGAAGAAGGCCCATAAGAAGTGACAGAAGAGGAGTACTTTAGGCCCAGGAGTGTTGGAATTCTGTGGGTACTGCGTAGGAGAATAAAGGAATAACGGTTGTGATGACTCACCGACATGACATGTGCGTTTGTTGGTCACGTTGGTGTAATTAACAACCATGGATGGGTATAAGAAGAGAGAGAGGAGTACGAGTAGATTTTTATCAGATAATTTGTCAAGTAGTACGTAAAGGAGAGGAGAGACTCCAAAGAAAAATTCATTGTATTTCACTTTATCTATCAATAAAACTTGGGATTTCCCTTTTCTTGTCTTTGTTTACAAGTTTGATACATCTAAACTGTATCAAATTGGTATCAGAGCCTTTGATTGTTGGGAAAATGCCTCAAAATAAAACAGATATGGACGCTACCATGGAGCTGTTACAGCAACAAACGAATCGGATCTCGCTCATTGAGCAGGAGATGGCTCGCTTGGGACTGCTGGAAAAAATCGATGGCAGTGATGCAGACACAGATCGTTGTCATGTTTGGTAGCTGGGAACAAGAGAAGAAGAAGAAAGACGATGCGCGACTCAAGGCAAAAGAGCTTGAGAAAGGAAAGGCGCATCAAGTTGAAGGCTCCACCTCGGAACCGATGACGGGAAGCAAGGTCGATTTCAAAGGGGAGCAACGCAGTCCGCTGACACCATCGCCCTTCCACGTCTATGATGAGGGATTTTACGGCCGTGGGTTACATGGACAGGGTTCGGGACTGTACGACGAGTACCGTCCATGGTGACACCCCCAGCTGACTTGATGTTTAGAGCTACCAACGTTCGACGGAACGGAGGCGGAGAGCTGGGTGTTACGCGTGGAAGAGTACTTCGATTTAGGGGAGCTATCGGAGGTGGGTAAGCTTCGTGCGGTACGAGTGTGTTTTACTGGAGATGCGTTGATGTGGTACCGATGGGCGCACGGAAAAACCTTTTTCGTAGCTGGGGTCAACTCAAGTATCACGTGTTGGAGCCATTCCCATGACCAATCAGCTATTGGATGAACGAAGAAGTTACCTAGACTTATCAATATCAGATTCTCTCAGATAAAAAATACCATATATCCAACTGGACCAGCCTCAAACACTAAACCAAATGACCTTCCCAAGCTAAAGGAAACCACTTAAAGAACCAATCCTATATATATATATATATTTCTTCTGACAACAACAAACAATTAAGTAACTAATCCTTTAGACGCGGAAAACCAATCCAAAGGTATTGAATCGATATATAACATAGATGAAAGAGAATTCTTCGCATCTCATATAATCTAGTCCGCCATAGTATTTTATGTCCTCGAAATATGTATGATTCAAAAGTTAGAGAAAAAAAATATTACTGTGTTTGCATTCTCCAGGTGCGTAGAGAAGATTGGTCATTCTTCAGATGTTAACACCATCTTCGATAAGTATATGATTTGCAATTTTGAATAATTCTTAGGCCATCTCTAACAATGACACCAAAACACCAAATTTAGTGTAAATTTATCTCTAACAAGACATCAAATTTAACGCAATCGCACCAAATTTGGTTAAAGTGAATAATATTACACCAAATTTGGTGTAATACTATTCATCATATCAAGTCTTAAAATACATATTTTATTATATTACACTTAGTAATATACTTCAAAAAATATTGTTAATTATTTCAAATTTGTGATTAAACGTAAATATAATGTATTATTTGTATTTTTAAATCATTTTACGTAATTAAGTTTTTTTTCTATTAATAAATCGATAAATAAGTATTATCATTTACGTCATTTTAAAAAAAAAATAATATATCATAGAATTTTTATTTTTACTTTCAAAAATATAAAATTTAATAAATATTTTTAAAAACATAGAAATCAATACTATATGCTAGATTAAATAGTAACTAATTAAAATTTTATGTAATACTATTAAATTTATCAAATATTAAACAACAATTTTATTTTTTAAATAGTTAAACTTGTATTACTAACTAATAAAAATTATTAAAATAAAATATATTATTTTGTTATCTACTTTTTATTGTAAATAATTTGAATATAAATAATATTTTATATAGAGTAAGTACATAAAGATATAATATTGGTAAACCAAAAATATAAATTTAAATAAACTTTATAAATGTAAATAAAATTTATAAACATAAAAATACAAGATTTAATAAACATAATAGATATATGTGATAGAATAATTATTTATCAATTAAAAATAATTAAAATTGAAAAATTAAATAATAGATAATATTATTTTTGGTGTAAAATTTGGTGTTATTGTTAGAGATGGAAAAAAAATTGATACCAAAACACGAAATCTAATTCAGTTTTATTACTAAACTAGATTTCGACCTGCACAATCATGGTTGTGCGGGTATATATTTTTATGTTTATATATAAATAATTGTTTTATGGGTCAAAATATATATATTTTCATAATGATTTCTAATAAAATAATTTTATAGTTTAATGCTGTAAATTCAAATCATCACATATACTTTGCATGGATAAATATAAATAAATAGATAAAATAAATGTTTTGTGTGTTAAGCAAGGTGTATTATTCTGACACACATTACCGTGCTTCTAGCACGGTATACTACATTGGTATAAGAGCACCGCTGTAAAAAACTATGAGAAATAGATGTGTGTAGGTTAAAGGGTAGTTTCATGTATTACTGAACTTATGTTAGCATATTACGCAAACTGAATCACATGAATACTTTGTATCACTCAGATTTATATTTATACAATATGTTTGCCCTTATCTTAGTGTATATCACATAATAAATAGATAGACTATGAGAAATATTACATTGAAGATATTACAGCCGACAATTATACTTGTCTTATCCGGATTCACGTCGTCTTGCGAAGATCTCTTGTAAGTTTTTTCTCCAATATATATAATTCGCCGTTCACTTTCTCTAAGAATTAAAACCCCGTAAAAATATGATATGATAAAATAGATAAATATGATAAAATATTTATCATATTGACTAGGGAGAAAAACTAGAATGACTCAAATTAATGGTATTATTACTAGAATAACTCATATTTTTTTTCAGAATTATTAGAATGTTTTTCTGGTCAAAATTGCCCTTGCCTATAGTTATAGAATTTTTATTTTTTATTTTTTTTTAGGTCGTCGGCAGATTTATTTAAATCTATCACACGACAGAGTTTTTAAATATGTTTATCGGATGACACAATAGATTTGTCTATATTTTGCTCGATTTGTAAGAAAACCGACTTTTTTAAATATGTCTGTCGGATGACACAACAGATTTGTAAGAAATCACAGATTTTTGCGATCGACTTATTTTCTTATGGCAGACTTGTTGAATTACGACCGATTTGAATAAAAAATCGATTCTTATTACGGTAGACTTAAGGTAAATCTGCCACCGATTTACAAATACTGCATACTAGTTGAATTACGACGCGACCGACTTGTTAGTTTACATTGTGACAGATTTGTTTAGTTAATTCTTGGGTTAGTTAAATTCGGATTGAATTCTGGTTTAGTTCAATTAATCTGAAATTCAATTAATTTGAAATTAGTTCAAGGAGACGATCTCTTTGGTCTTGTTCATCGCCTTCTCCATCTTTTCCTTGCTCGTTCTTTTCTGAGCTCAAGGAATATAATTAAATCTAGTCGAGTTCTACTTTTCGCCAAAGAAGTCTCCTTGACATGTTGCTCTTTAACCAGAGGAAGATGGAGCTTCAAGCCTTGACATTGAATGTTGGTACAGAGTTAACCATCCTGGTACAAAAGTCAATTTCCGAGGCAATAGCTATAAAATAGAGAAACAGAAAGAATATTAACTCAAATTAGTCTTTTATTAACCAAACCACACCATGAACAACATAGTTTTGATGATGTCTTGTTAAAACCAAAGTTAACAGCAACAACAAAGGGTCTTTCTTTATTTGGTTACTTGACAAACATAAACATAACACTCTTTCTTCACTTCCTTTGTCTCTCTCTCTCTCTATTAGACACCAGTTTCAGAGTTCTCATCAAAGCTGAGAAGAGTTATTGGCGATAGCACCAGCTTCAGTAAGTATAGGCAAAAGCTTGCCTTGCTTGTTACTATCCATCACCCCTGCAGATTCACAATCAACCACACAAATGTTTTAGTTAGTTCTTCCAGCGATCTGTGTCTCCAATAATGTGAAGAGAGTTTGTATAGTTCTCTTACTATCGCAGCCACCGATATGTTTGCCTTTGATGAAAACATTAGGAACAATGCTCTATCCTGTCCACTCAGATAAAGCTGATTGGATCTCACCTCCATCACCTATGAAACTTGTAAATTAGCATGGGACGAATATAAATATATAATCCAGGTTCAGTGACATAGATTTTGGTAGGTTTCTTACTCATTTCATCGAGCTCAAGCACTTTAAAAGTTGCTCCAAGCTGTGTCAACAGTTGTTTCACCCTCTGGCAATAACCACAGTACGTCTTGCTGCAAAAACAAGACATGGATCAAACCGTAAGACTCAACAAAGGAGATGTGATTCAAGTATTTAGACATATAAAGCAAATCCACATACATCGTCTCTCTTCCTATTAACCCAGATGGAAAAGACTCAACCTTTGGATCAAACAAGACCTTAGAGACATGATTACACAATTTATCAAACAGATACATAATCACAGATGAAAAGACAGAGACTTTCAATGAGTTAAGACCTGAAGACAACGACTTCAGAGACAATCTTTTTGGCTTTTTTCATTACAACCTCCATATCTTCTTTGTTTAATCGGTTTCCACTGAACATAGAACCCATCTCTTCTCTTTCCTACACAGTATATATACGGATTATCAACAACAATTAAGAATTTGAACATATAAAACTTACAATCATGTAGAGGGAAGACGCAGCCAAGGCAAGAGGAATGGCAACAGAGGTGACTTTGTCCTTTGGTCCTTTAAGGTAGGTGTGCCTCTGAATGCTCTGGAATAGTCTTTGAAATTTGGGGATTTAGGGTTCTTGAAATCTAAAATCAAATCAGGTAATAAAAATAAAAAACGTATAGAAACTATGAGGAATTAGATTAATTAGTACTTACCAGTGACAGAAGAGTTGTGACGGAGGAGATTCGGCGGAGGTGGAGGAGATGAAGAAGACGAAGGGGACTTTTGCGATTTCGAGCGGATACAACAAGAGGAGACGACGAGAGAGGGCTGAGACAGAGGAGATGTCGCCGGAGAGTGACAAGATCGCCGGCGAGAGGCCCTTGAAGATTCTCCTTTCGTCGATTGCATGTTTGGAAGAAAGAGAGAGACCCGACAAAAGCCTTCTTAATTTCCCTTTTTTTTATGTTTATATTTTCATATTCTTTTGTGTTATTCTTTTTAAATTAATGTTTTTTTTTTTGCTGATTAGAAGGGTTGTTGTGTCAAATTACATGTATCTGAATTGGGTCTAGTATGTAAATTTTAATATGAGTCATTCTAGTCATTTGAAGATAAATATGAGTCATTCTAAGTAATTCCTCTATTGACTAAGACAGAGTATATAAATGACCGTATATTTACACTGTATATTTAGAAAAAGCATAAGATATATTACACTGTATATAATAATATTTATTCAATATTTATATTACACGGAGTATATAAATGACTGTATATTTATCATAGGACTGTATATTTACACAGGATAAACATAATAAATAGATAAATATGATAAAATATGACTGTATAATCAGTTGACTGTACATTCGTATTGACACAGTAAAATATTTTAAATTTATTTTAAATATATTAACTTATCAATTTCAAAAAAAACTTTATCATATTTAGTTCAATATAATGGTTTTCTTTTAAAATGATATATATTTTTAGAAAATAGATAAAATAGGATATAATTTTATTCTTTTCATTTTATAAAATATATCTGAATATATATAAATGTATAATAAAATTTCATGAGTAATTATGAAATTAGTGAAAATATTTATGTTCCGATTTTGACAATTAATATCTAGTTATAATCTTTTTAACAGATTTGCTAGAATATATATATATAATAATTTTAAAAAATTAAAATATCAAAACATATTATGATTAAAATAGTTAAAATATTTTATATTATTGGTATTAAGGATATACTTTTAATTTGAAAATATACATTTAATTTTAAAAATGAAAGGATTGTCTAAATAAAAATATCACACATAAAATAAATCATGAATTTTGTTTTAATAGAATAGACTAAATTTTGATTCGCGCTTTGAAAGCGAGAAATAAAGTTTTCGGTGCAAACATTATATAATAGTTTTTTCTCTTTGTGTAAAGTATTTTGAATATAAAATCCATAATCCAAAGTCCAAAAAACTAAAAACCCTATCCATACCCGGTCTAAAATAAATAAAAAATACCATAAGAGGTTTTGTAGGGTGGTAGTGGTACAAAATATATCAAAACCTGAAGTGCTATCAGCCAACCCAAACCGATAACCCGAAAAACATGTAAAATTTTGAAAAACCGATATGAATGTTCAAATTAATCACAAATATATATATATATATATATATATTTAAAACAAAATAAAATAAATATTTATTTGTAAAAAATATTTTAAGATTATTAGTAAAATGTATTTTGAAATTACTCAATTTCCTTTTTGATTATGAGTGAATATAATTAAAATTTTTAATTTTTAATATTCGTTTATAAACCAAAACTAAATTTCGTTTTAATTTTAATTTCTAATTATATTTGATGATAATTTAAAGTAAAATTAACTAATTTTTGAAAGTAAATTTAAAAAGATACTAAAGAGATTTTAAAAAAATTTGTTTGAACATTTTAAATATATTCATTTGTATTTCAAATAAAGTGATGGACCTCTAAAGATATAAAGATATTAAATATATAATAATAAAATTTTGTAAAATTTGATATTTTCTAGGAATGGATACAAATTTTAGAAATCACACATGAACTGAAGTCATTACTTTCGTTTTAATATATAAGATTTGGTGTCCTTGTTAGAGATGTCCTTAGTGTTTATTTGATTTCCTACGCATTGCAAAGATATTTCGGAAAATTGTGTGTTTAGACCAAAAAACAATAACATTGTCCTAATAGGATAAATCTACTTTATAACTGTCCCATTAGACTAATATTTAAAAAAAAATAGAACTTTGTCCTCTAAAATACAATTATAAACTAATTATAATATATTAAAATATCATACTTTAATTAAACTAATCTATTATATTAAAAGAGAAGTCATGACTCACTTCATGTGTGATATTTTAGTTTGGACCATCTTTAGAATTTTATAAAATTTTACATAACATTATAATATCTTTTCATATCTTTAATTTTTGTTTGAAATACAAATAAATAGTTTTAAGAAAATTCTAACATAATATTTTAAAAATCTTTTAGAATCTTTTTCAAGATATAATTGCAAAATTATTGGATTAAAATTTTAATTATCATAAAATATAATTAAAATTTTAATTCATTTTTATTTATAAGCAAAAAATTAAAATTATGTAAAATATTTTTGACAATATCCCAAAATTTTGTTTATGTATTATGTAGGTCCAACTTTATTTAACTTTTACATAGATTTCAAATTTATAAATAAAACAAAGTATATAAATTAGTAATGTTACATAATAATGTTTTTAAATAATTGTTACAAGTCAAAATAATGTTTTTAAATAATTGTTACATGATAAATTTTATATTCATAATATTATAAGTCACATAAAAATTATTATAAAATTGGATAGCATATAAAATAAAATTATACTTATTTATTGATAAATTTTAGATTAATTGCACCTGATAACCATAGAAATAAAATATATTAGGTAAATGTACATGATACGGTTAACATTTATAATTCTCGGTAATAACCCTACTAGCTAGAGTGTATGTGATATACATCGCATCTTTCTGTCCCACCATCTCTCCCTCTCTATCTTTCTCTCTGGTTTTCCTGATAGAACTATCGATTCTTGAGTTTTTGAGATGATGTAATCAATCGTATTCTCTAACTCCTCAACTGATTTTATTTCTAGAAATCTAATGAAGAGACTCATATGTTCAGAAATGATGGTGTGGATGAAAGAAGAAAGAGGAGGTTGTCAAGAAGATTGTATTGGATAACATAACTTATAGCAATTATAAAAAGTTTCAATAAAAAATGGGAAGATATGTGGATTTGAAGACTAAAGATTAGATGAAAAAGTTGAACAAAAAGAGATGAAGATGAATAAAGAGATTTGAGAGATAGAAGAAAGAGAATGGAGATAGAGATGAGTGTAGGGATAGAATTGGTAGTTCAAGGTTTAAAATCTACAGTAAACTACCTTTTTTTTTTGGGCAGTTACCTAATGTTGTTTTAGTTCATGTATATTCACCTAGTTCACTCTAAATTTTATTACATAATTTCAAATATTTTGATGACAACACTGTTTTTTCTTGGCTACTGAGATTCTTCTCATTGAACTCAGTAACTTAGTTTGAGAATCTTTATATTCAGTGAATGTTCATTGTGCGTCATTAAGTCTGAAGTGTTGTAAGATAACATTTTTTTTTGTAAATTTTAATATGTTGTAGGTCACAGATATCAATCAGGCTATCTCTTGCTTACATCAGGCGCTCGTGAGTCTGCTTTCAGAAATATTAAGACTATTGCTGAGTGCTTTGCTGATGAATTGATCAACGCAGCCAAGCGCTCGTCTAACAAGTAAACGCACTCTACACATCTCCTTAAAATAGTTTCTTATGTGTTTATCAGTGAAGCTCTAATCTTATATATTAAAACAGAAGTCATGACTTTCTTCATGTGTGATATTTCATTTTATATCATTTCTTAAAAATTTTCTTAAATGGATTTAAATAATTATGACGCGTAAACCAACGCCGGTGACGTGTTCATCAACGCCGGGTAACATGTTCATCAATGCCGGAGAATAATGTCGACTCCTCAATCCAATCCTAAATTTGTAAGTTGCTAGATTAGATCTTCTTCGTATCTGTATTTTCCTTATTCGATTTAAGACGATAGATTATACAAATACGGTCTGTTTGTATACAAAAGTTTCAATTTTTTGTATATGTTTGTTCGATCTAAGGGAAAGAGGTGAATTTTGTAAATTTATAACCCTTTCTAAAACACGAGCTTCATGTGGTTTTGAGATCCGTCTAATTGATTAGTGTTTGATTCTGTAATCGTTGAATAACATATCTGTAGACCATGAATAAAAGTCACATCATCGTTTTATTGAATTTACAACCCTTTCTAAATACGAGATTCATGTTGAATTTTTTTTAGCAGTTAGATAGCAATGAATTTTGCCCATCCATGCGTTTGCTTGAGAGAGTTTATGAAGCTGGAATAGAACCACCAGATAATCCGAAGGTCATTATCCAACACTCAAGAATAAAGTATGTGGAAAAGGTTGCTGCCGTTTGTGGGAACCGAAATTCACACCGTCGATTTTCCGTCAATTGTGGAAACTTAGGGAAAAACCCTAATTTTCCCGAGGTCCTGGATCTCTGCGGAAATCACTAAAACAAACGAGTTTAAAGGAATATGGATGAACAACAAAGAATAAAGAGATAAGAAATTGTAAGAAAGCTTTTATTGAATAAGAATCGACAACCGTTAC